AGGCGCAGTTTACGATGAAAGGAGAGCTCGCTAGAAATCAAGATAAAGTTGATCAGTTGTGTAGGGATGGAGAAGCCCTTGCCCGTTGATTAGCGCCTTATGGTTAGGCCTGTCCCAGGTGCTCACCTCATCAACGCTAACGCTCTCTCTGCTAAAACGGCTGAATGGTCAGGCTATCAAGGCAATCCCAAACATCTTCCTTGGTTCTTTCTCACTAGGCAGTAGAACCGCTAAAAATCTTCATTCTGAGCATCAATCAAACCGCTAGTCAGACGGCGAAGAGGTGGTGGGGGGGGGGGACAGTGGAGCAAGCGACATGGGCATGGTCCTATGGACCGCTATCATGTCCTTCGCTGCGAAATGAGGGGCCCGCGCCGCGCTCCCTTAGGGGCCCGCCTGCCTTTAATGTTCCCCTTCTTCGACCTCCGACCTTATTGCAGAATCCTATCCTGATTATCCCCTTTGCAATAGACTTATGATTAGCATTCAACTTCCTTACAAAGCCTTCCCTAGAGACGTATCCCTAGGAATTAATTTTCTAACATTTTTTGACGGCTCAAAAATAAATTGTGAGCTAAAAGGCGTACTCAATTCAAGATGCTGTCAGTTCTAGCGTAACCTCGATCCTTCCACTAGTAAAAAAAACCCTGCGAACACTGGTTCAGAAGTGCCGACTGTTCATGATTGAGCACGAGCGATCCCAACCGCTTGAGAAAGACAAACATTCACCTTTCACCAAAGCGCCGATCCGCACAACCAGTGAAAAACACGACCGTATGCTATTTACAGAGGCCGTCGGCAGGAGTTCAGCACGTGCAACTTGATGGCGTGTCCTATTGATAAGCACTGCGCTAAACTGCTTACCAACGACAAGATCTGTGACGGAAGAGTTTGTACTAAGTACGTGATATAATTTGAGGACTACAGAACTTATTGAAACATGTCACATTCCAGGGCCTCACAAGCGTTATCGGGATGTTTGGAGCCTCAGTGCTGTCCACCTTTCATCAATGTGGACGGCACCTGCCAAAGTGACTCACCGCTTGTAAACGATTTCACCCTGGCGAAAAGATAACATCACTTCATGGACAAGACAAACATTCATAAACAAACTCGAAGATTCCTCTCAAGTAAACCCAATGGACAGATAGTCTGAATTTATTATTTCCTTCGCGCAAGCTGGCCTTTTCACTGCAGTAACACCTATTAAGAGTTATTTGATCAGGTCAGCAACACCCTTAATGTATGAAGTATCGAAATCCACTGTAGTTTATTTGGCTGCATTTTTGGACCACCATCAAGACAATGTCAAATACGGGTTTAAATCTTCCTTTAAATATAAGTCACAAATAAACAATTCTAATGCCCAGAAAATCTGTTGAGAATCGTATATTGGACGGAATTATGCCGAGAATTATGTTACACAATAAAGTGAATCAAAGAATCCGTAGAATTATATAAACTTGGACAATTATGCACATCGGATGTGAAAGGGCAAAGCTCGGCTACAGCAACGCATCGACTATTATAAAACCTGGATACACCATAGAATAAATGAAACAATTAAACGGAACCACATACCTCACAAAAAGCAAGCTTTTTCTAAACGAAATAGAAAAATAAACATAAAATACCAGCGAAAAAAGGCATGATACACTTAGTGTATCACCTGATTTGATCGCAGATAACGCTGTTCAGTACACAACACATTCCCGATCGGGTGGCACAAAAAGAAATAAACGTAATGAAAAACATTAATGAGATAGATTGTATGAGAATGACACAAACCCAACTACAAACTGTCAGGACCTACCATACCAAAAGATATGACCAGATCGAGATCCTTTCAATGCAGTCGGTCATCGATTGAAAGTTGGCAACTTATCGAAAGAATATCCTGGACGGCCACAGAGCGTGCAGATAATGTAGTAGACATGATAAGATCCCGGAACAAAACAGAGGAAGCCGGCGAATAAGAACACCCGGCCTTTGCGGTCTAAACTTGAGCATGCATAATAAAGAAAGCAAATGAAGAATATGCTAAGCGCTTTTCAGGCTCTAGAAGATACGCAAGCCTGGGGATTTTGTTGGGACAGCGGATTCCTACATTGAAAGCCTCATTAGAAATCAGGACGAAGAAGCAGCCACGGGCCATCCAGTAGAAGTAGGGGGAAGGACGCTGCAACATCCATATCGACCATGAAGTCGATCCACTTTTTTGGTGGCATATGAGACTATAGGGTGAGCGTGTCAAACCTTAAGCTGTCAAAAGTTCACGCACGGGGATTCCCACCCTGCAAGAGTTGGAATTTCTGTTACAGTTAACAAGTTTGTTTTTACCCATGCACTCCTTGACTAGATGAAACCCAGGCAAGTGGGTTGAGGGGGGAAAAAACATGGAGACCAACAGGAACACGCTAAATGGGCAGCCTCTCTTTGCCAGGCGAAGAAGCGGTAGGCAAGGCAGCGGGCGCGAGTATCAGGTCCCGGCCAGGCCGGAGTCATTACTCTTCGCCACAGAGCGGGATCGTCTCGCACCCTTTAACGGGCCGCCTACCTTTAAACATGGGATATCCCGTTTTCAAACCACCGCCTTCTCTGTGAAAATTTTCAAGTGATATATTCGCGGAAGATGGCCGACATTCGTAGCACTGGAGCAAAGTCAATACAGAAACAGTGGAAGACATTTTCCATACTTTCTTAACTCCCTTCTTGCAAAAACAAACGGCTCACCCATCCGGAGCATCCTCCCCTGCGAAAAATGGGACTTCTGTTGCCATGACGAAAAATTGCGCCGCGATGTCTCCCACCCTAAACTATACTTGCGCCGAAGGTTTGTTTACGGAAAAATATTCCACGAGAAAGATGACAAAATAGCATAATTTGAACATGGAGACAAATGGAACAGATTTTATAGAGGACCAGAAGGATGCACTTTAGTGAATCAAAACACCAAAGCATCGTGTAAAGGCACCACTATTCTTTCTGAATCAAATTAACGATGACCATGGAGATCGCTCATAGCTACCTTAGGTATATGACCCATGACCCGGAATTCCTCTCAAGTAATGCAATCGGACATTGCGTTGGGTTGGTTTATGAGACAGCATGAGATTTATTGGTAAGGAGCATTTCAAGATACCAAAAATAGACGTCTCGCAGAGTGAAGATGCATCTCAAGATTCTAGTGAGAAATGAAATCTCTCTGCAAGTTTTCATCATAAAAATCGGCTTTTCTAGGCACCACGAAATGGCACGCAACTAAAAGTTCTTGTGGAAAGCTATGAAACAGCAATTTAGCTTTTTTTTTTGTTATTAGACTGAATTACCTATACTGCCGGCCCCATCCCTTCCTTAGTTGTCGAAAAGTTGGGAACGATCAATTCCCCCAAAGTAGAAACCTGTTCTAAATGCGATTATGCTCGCAAGGTTTTCATGTGTCGGCAAAACACAAGGACAAGCACCTTGATACAGAAAAGAAAATGATACACAGAGAAGAGACATTCACAAAAAGGAGAGCTGAAAAAGAGCGCTCATGAAAAGAAGAATCGACAACCCACCCTCATCAGGACGAAACATCACCATTGTTCCGACAACCAGCAGAACTAAAATAACACATGTACTTTTAAATAATTGCAGTAATGTCATGTTTCCTGCTAACATCCAAAAAAGTCTCCGGTGCGCAAAATTCCTCATCAGAGAAGGAGGCAATCAAAGAACAAATTCAAAACTAACTTGATCCGACTACGGTAAGCACTATTGAGCCTAATATAACTTTGACGTTCGACCGAATGTGAGGGTCGCTGCAGAGGCCTCTGAAATCAACTGAATCTGTATTATTACGAATCGAGCCGTTATTCAAACATATGAAAAGTTGGAAAATAATCTCGATGAGCATCAAGAAAAAGTTTCTAAACTCACTTGGGCTTATTATTTTGCGGTCGACATTGTGTTGATGTATGTGTAGGACTTCCTCCAGGATACACACCTGCTCGTCCACGTTCTGCATCATCTTCATCTCCAGAGTCATTAGGATCTACTATTAGCTGGAAAAATAAGGAATGCAGACTATTCAAATGACCAGTAAGAGGAAAACTAATAAGGAGACATTGCTGAAAAGTTCTAAGAGAAAGAACAAAGAACTATTCAGAAGAAGAGAAGAACTTACATGCTGTCCTTGTGATACATTACGTTGGTGGCCCGGCAGCGTAGGCATTCTAAATGCTCATTAAATAGAAACAAAACATTAAATGCAGTTCTTTCTCGATGAATTGATCATATCAATTCTCTGAACAAGTAAATCAGCAGCAAGTGAGGTAATTCAATGCATAAATCCAATTCTCAGTGCATATGTGTAGCCTTTTGGTAATGTGATTCGCTAGGAAAGAAAGCCACATTTCCGATTTCCGCCGCGCGCAATTTTTCGCTGTGAGAACCCCAGGTCCACAACTGATCAGGAGAAAACCTGAGGTTCTCGTAACGAGAAAAGTTCCGTGCTGCAAAAAGCGGAAAACTCGCTTTCTGCTCTAGCGAATTACACCCAACTTTTCGTACCCCTCACATGGAAATCAATTGGTCAGTAGGACTAATCGGAATCAAGCGCATACCACTGCATATGTTTTGAGACGCTGAGCTCAGAACTGCGTTCCATATCTCCTGAACGATTCAAGT